GCCGAGCCGCGGGGGGTGTGTGAGACAGAGAGCCGCGGGGGTGGACAGCGGCGCCTCTCGCAGAGGGTTGGCTTCGGGCAGCGGCGCCGCAAATAGATTGCGGTATGTAAGTAATTGCAGACCGTTTCGGGAATTTTGTTTGTCAAGTTCATTTCTCTTCTCAATGTTTTTGCAGGAGGATAAGAAAAGGAAGCGTACAGAAAGAGTGGAGAAAGAAGACCAGAGCTCATCCCTCATAGAAGACCCTCCTGTGAAAGCAAAGAAAGCCAGAAAGAAGGAACATTCAGAAGACCAGAGCTCACCCAGCATAGAAGACCCTCCTGTGAGAGCAAAGAAAGCCAGAAAGAAGGAACACTCAGAAGATCAGAGCTCACCCAGCATAGAAAAGCCTCCCGTGAAAGCAAAGAAAGCCAATAAGAAGGAATTTTCAGAAGACCAGAACCCACCCAACATAGAAGAACCTCCTGTGAAAGCAAAGAAAGCCAGAAGGAAAGAACATTCAAAAGCAGAGAAGAAACTGTCAGACAGGTGAGCGGGTTATAACATCTTCTTGTAAAAGTTAAAACCCCAATGTCTGGATGAATTGTAGTGTTCATAGAATCATAGTGTTCAGTGAAACAATGAAGTTCTCTTCTACTACTCGTATTCAACCTTGTGCTTAAGATTATTTTTAAGAAGATTGTTCAAGTTTCCCATAGTTTTCTCCCAAAGGTTAGAAATAGGTTCAAGCTTCTGAAGGCTCTAGGTTGGTGGAGTGCAAATCCCCTGGTAGATGCTTTCTAGTTGTAGTGTTCATAGAATCATAGTGTTCAGTGAAACAATGAAGTTCTCTTCTACTACTCGTATTCAACCTTGTGCTTAAGATTATTTTTAAGAAGATTGTTCAAGTTTCCCATAGTTTTCTCCCAAAGGTTAGAAATAGGTTCAAGCTTCTGAAGGCTCTAGGTTGGTGGAGTGCAAATCCCCTGGTAGATGCTTTCTAGCTGTAGTTGATCCAGCAGATTCAGGAAGAAGGTGCCAAACAGAGTGAGTTGTACTTATCATGTTTGCCCTCTGCTGTGACACAGAATTTCTCTGTTACACCATCTGCTCTGTTAAGTACTCAGGGTTGAACCAAGACACTGTCAGAGCAGGCCAGAAGCTGATCTCTGTGCAAGGTAATTGGCATAATAAAGTTTGCTTGATTGTAGCACAAGGCTAACACCTCATCCTCTCTCTGGCACTGTGTGTTGCTGCCTCTTCCATGCCTTATTTGCTGTGCTGATGTCAGTCCTCCAGGGGCTCCTTCAGATCTGCTCATTGTTCCTGCTCTTAGGGCAGGTTTGGATAGAGATTTGTCAGCACACAGCAGGATTCCAAGCTTGGTTTGTTCTGAGTGCCCTGGACAGTGGGAAGGATTAAATCTGTCCTTAGTTTTAGTGTGCAAAGAGATTAATTTTTTCCCTTTCAATTTTAGAGGCGATTTAATTCTGAAGTATTTCTTTATTACTTGTGCTAAACAGTGAATACAATGTCCTGGGGACAGCATTTGCATGTTACACAATGGTCAGATATGTTTGTTTAATGCATAATAAACAAAATAACGTTTGAAATTTTATGTTAAACAGGGTGGTTTAAAATATAAGTTATTTATCTTGGAGTCTTTCCCCATTAATTGTAATCTGCTTGTCTGTTTCTGCTAAGGGAGAATGCCTTGGAGCAAGCAGATGAAGAGGAGGGTCAGAAACAGTTTCAAAACAAAGTGAAGCAAAAGCCAAGGGCTCCTCAGGCTATCACCAAGAGTGGTGTTAATGCAGCTACAGGCACTGCTGCAAAACAAGGAAAGGGAGAGAAAGTGGTTGATGAAAAGGAAAACAGAAGAACTGTGTTTGTTGGAAACTTGCCTGTTGACTGTACTGTGCAGGTGCGTGGATGGATTCTGTCAGCTAAGGGAGGGAGAGGAGTAGCAGCAGTCCTTAGTTTGAGGGGATGTCTCAGCTGAGAAGTCACACGTATTTGTGATGGAAATTGCTTTGGGGAAAGTAGGAAATAATGCTCGTTCTCAGAAACCATTAGAGGCGTCACTGTGGTTTCCTGGAGTTGGGATTTTACAGCAGGGGATGCAGTTGCCCTTGCTCAAATAGAATTGGTCAGTTTCTTTCTCAATGAAAAATGACCAAGTAAGTACTGCAGTTGCAGTTACTCTGCTTCCCATTTTATATGTAAACAGTGCTTCAGATTGTTACACGGTGCACGTTAAATTTATACCTTCTTCCATAGTAAGGGGCACGAAGTCGGTTTTAGCAATCTGTAGAAGAAGCAGCTGCCCCAAGAAACACTGAGCTGGTTAGGAATTACTTGCATATTTCGGTAGCTCTTTACGAGACTTCATGTAAATAAAAGGAAAAATGATGTAGGAACAGTGTTGCTAATAAATATTAAACAACAGTTCTCATTACCAGGGTGCAAAAAATGTACTGACTGTTTGTAATATCTTCTGTTTAGAAACTGAAAACTCTTTTCAAAAAGTATGGACCAATCAAATCCATTCGCTTCCGGTCTCTGGTATGTTACCTCCTCTAATGCTATATAGCAAAACTATTTGTTGGTCTTAAAGGGTGATAGTACTTCTAAGGCTTGGGTCTGCATTAGTTCAGAAGTGGGTTTGGGGGTGTGTGGGTTTTGCCTTGTGTGTGGGAAGCCTTGGATGTGTCACCACAGAAGCAGCACAGGTATGTTTTTCCTATAGCAGTAGTTGATACAGGATCAGAGCTTTCTGTTCTCTGAAAGAGGAGTGAATGCCTTTCTTATTGCTTGTTTAGCTAAGGAATTACTTACCTGTTTTTAAGTCATAGTAGCAGAGACACATTGATTGTAAATCAGTGTACTTGCTAGAATGGTTGACGATAACAATCTTGGAACTTGAGAAACATCATCAGGCAAAGTCAAAGCAAGCTCTCTAACTTGGAGGTCTCTCTAGATCATCACTAGGATGAGCTGCCTCCATCATTTGCTCATTGTACTGGCTGCACTGCTTTGGGTGGGAAGGGCACCTGTTTGAATTCCTCTTTATCCTCAAGAACAAATCTTTGTGATAAGTTGACACTAGGCCCACTTAACTCAAGCTCTTTTTATCTTAAAGGTTCCAGCAGAAGATACTTTGTCCAAAAAGTTAGCAGCAATCAAGTAGGTTCCTCTTGTGAATTTTATGCTTTATTTTTCAAGGCCAAAATAATTTTTTGACTGTTGGTTGTTAAAAGTTTGGCTGTATTAGGGGTTTTTTATGTATTTCGTGTTTCTTTGTCTTTTGTAATCACCTTTGTGTGTATTAAGTTATCTCACCAGGTGATAAAGAATTAAGTGCAGGGTGCACTGGTAATTTGTTACCTGAGCTTGCATTTCATATATTTTAGGAAAGAGGAAGATGCTAATAGTCTGTAATCCTTTGGCTACATTTATGAGTGGAGGAAGCTTGCTCAGGGTTGCATATACCAGCTGTACAAGATGTACAGTGGGACTCCCTTGCACATACAGGGCTAGCTTGACCTGTAAGAGAAGTGAAGTTGTTGGTATGCACAAAACAAGCAGAGGCATAAGTGTGTTCAACCAGAAGTGCTCGTGCACTGCACAGCATCCAAATGACTTACATGGTAACATGTGCTTTTCATGTTCCAGGCGTAAGCTGCACCCTAATGCCAAGTTTGTTAATGCTTATGTTGTCTTCAAGGAAGAATGTGATGCCCAGAAGGCTCTAAAGGAGTAAGTCTCATTTTTGTTCCTCATTCCCTGTTGAAGAGGTAGTTCAGGTGGATTCACAGCTACATTTAAACAACCTTCCCTCTTTGCTTGAATCAGAATAAAATGTTTGTTCAAAGTTAAAAGTAACTTTGCTTTTGGAATGCTGCTGTGCAGTGACATTGCAAGTTAACTAATACTCATTTCACTTCTTGGCTACAAAAGGAATGGAACAGAAATTGCTAGTGGATTTCACATCAGAGTCGACACTGCATCTAGTAACGGTTCAGTAAGTAAGATGTGTGACTATGATTTGGTTGTAGGGGGGTTTATTGGTTTTGTTTGGTTGTTTTGCTTTTTTCTGTAACAAATGACTTACCGTGTTGTTTTCTTTAGCATGACAGTAAACGATCTGTATTCTTGGGAAATCTCTCATATGGTAAGTTTAAACTGGATTGTTATGCATCATTGTTTAACATTTATGGAATCTGTTGACATTAGGCTTTTATTTTGTGATATTTAGAGCAGCATGTTTAGGTAGCTGAACACCTCTGGCTGGAATTAATGTTTATTTGTTAATGGAAACACTTCAAGGGGTTCTAAGTCTCTGTCAAGTTCTGTAGGTTGTTTTCATCATTGTAGGTAGCACTGCAAGCACTTCTAGTTCTTGTTGTCACTTGATGGTTTTTAAATAAATATGACTAAGTTGCATAGTCCTTAGCTTTCTAAGCTGTTCAAGGTGTACCAGTACCTACTTGTGGCTCAATTCTGAGTGATCAGCAGTGATAGCTTCTTATTTTGACTCTGTCTGAGCCGCAGGGTGAGTGACTCTGTAAACAGCTCTTGTCAATTGGTTGTTAGCCATGTGGAGGTGTTTGCCATGGAGTTCAGGTTAGTGCTTGAGGAATACTCATCTGCTTCTGAGTGGACTGATGAAGGAATTGCCATTGGGTGTGGTGTGTGTGAGGGTATTAATGGGTCAGGATGCTCAGTACAAGCATCTTTCTTCAGAGTCGTGTGGATATGTAAATCTACAGGATGAAGGCATGCCCTGTGCCTTTGGCCTGATGCAGAGCCTGCAGCATGTACTGCTGACAGTAACACTGAAACAGTCTTCAAACTGCAGTCTAAAACTTGACCTGAAAACCTTGATGGTGCATCACACTTGTCTGTTTGTGAAGGCATGAGGTGGAGAAAGCCTCACACATCTGGCCATTATCAGAATAATCACATAGCAGCTGTGGTTGGAAGCTGTAAATCCCTTCTTCCCCATTCAGCTAAAATTCACAGCTCAGTTGATGAGCATCTGACTCGAAGAACTGCCAGCTCAAGCTCATTATCATCAGCATTAATTCTTAGAAAGAAATCCTAGCAAAAGAAGGAGTCACAAAACTGCAGCAATAATCTTAATTTCCACTATGTTCCTTCCAGCCATAAATGGAACTATGTGAGAAATTTGTTTCAGTCTTTGCCTTTGTTCTTCTTTGTGATGTATGTCATACTCTTCAAGGCTGGAGAATGAGTCACTACCAGAGTAAACAACCCTTTGCTAGGATTCTTCTGAAGCACTGATACTTGTCTATCTGTGTGTATTCATATGGTAATATGTATTTAAATGTATTTGTGTCCCTGAATTGGTGAGTGTGAAGTAATTGGACTGGGGCCAGGCTTCTCAAGCACTGTGGTTTCCTGCAGACATCCAGGATGACACCGTGCGAGAGCACTTCCTTGTCTGCGGAGACATCCTGGGAGTGCGAGTGGTGAGAGACAGGAGGACTGGCCTGGGGAAAGGCTTCGGCTACGTTCTCTTCGAGGTATGTATGAATGACTGCTGCAGGGTGCTGGGAATTCCTCACAGTCTCAGTGAGGATTTGTCCTTACAGCATTTGAAATACTTCGTTTTCTTTTCTGTAATTTGTGGGGATTTGTGCGCGATGTTAAATGGTAGCCCTGTTGTGTATGTTAAATCCACTTGGAAGAACAGTGCTGTGGGAGCAGGTACAAAACAAGCTACTTCAGGTTTTGTTGGGGTGAAAGAAGGGATTTTAAGGGAAAGACTTAAAGGAGGGACCGATGAGTGAGTTTGGTATTGATAAGGAGAAGTGAGCCCTAAAGGGCCATGAAGTGCCTGCTTAGAGAGGGGATGGTGACAATGATTTCTGAGAACTAATGGTAATAATAATGACCACCCATCCCTGGAAATAATTAATATGTATGAGCATTTAATGTATAAAAACCATGAAGTTCTTGTCCCTGGTTGCACAAGTTTGGTGGAGCTTGTACCCAGCGCTGAATAAACAAATACCTGCTACTCAGAGATACAAGTCTGTGAGTAGTTCTTTTTCAGGTTTTCTCAGCATCAGTATAACTGCAATGTTCTCCTGTTTCTTGTGTGTCAAAACATGAGTGGAATTCTTTCCTGCAGCTGGTTTGCCTGCTGGCTCTCCATTTTGGGTTCAGTACAGCTTCCTTGTTCATGGCAGCATCCCAGCCTCATCCTCCTTTATTTATTTCCTGCAGCCCAATACCTTTTTTCCCCCAGTTTCTCCTCCATCTCTTTGCCTCTGGCATTTGTGTCTCACGTAGCCCATTTTGAAGTATCTGTGCCTCAATACGTTGGGTGTGCTGGTGTTCCTGAGAAGAGATGTGTCACTCAATAAACAGAGCAGTCTGAGTGTTCTTCATTGTAAAATGCTGGTTACAGACTTTAAAGAAAGCTAGCTGTTTGTGTGGAAGCAGTCCACTGGGAGCAATGCCACATTTAACCTGCATGCCTGCCCTTGCAGAACAGAGACGCTGTGCAGCTCGCCCTGAAACTCAATGACTCCGTCTTGATGGGGAGAAAGATCCGAGTGCGGCGCATTGGGGCCAAGAGGGAAGCACCACAGAAGGGTCCAGGCAAGTCTCGTGCTCCCAAGGACAGAGCTGGTACTGCAGCAAAACCCAAGAGCCACTGCAAGGATTCCTTTGTTGGTGAAAAAGCGACCCCATTGAAGAAGAGTGCCAAGCCAAAGAGACTTAAGACTATCCCTAGGAAAAAAGCTGGGAAAAACAAACAGTCTTCTGGCAAAAATCAAACAGGGAAAAATGGTGATTAGTGTTACCAGGATTGATGTGTGTAAGAGTGTCCTGCCATAAATGTTTTTTACTAATACAACTGTAGTCATTCTTGGCATTGTTGGCTCTGGGGTGTTTGGCTTCTCCCAGCAGGGCAGCGCCAGGTGCTGTGTGGGTTTATCCACTGTTCCTGGAATCCACCTCCAGCTGAGGTCTTGCTGCAGAGGTTCATTTGGAGTTGTGTAGAATCACTCAAATGACAGCAGAAAACGTGACCCACATGTAGACTTTGTCTGTGATGATGTGCAGGTTATTACCGAGGCACGTTTTTGGTTTGGGGGTTTGGCTGGTTGATTTTCACTGTTAAGTTTCAGTTTACACCACTTTGATCTGTTGGGTGGTGAAGAGCTGGTGCTCTGGGGGTGGCTGTGGGAGCAGCGTTGGGGTAGGGCTGGGATGGGATGTGTGAGTTCTGGGGCACCACAATGCAAGAAAGATCTTGAGCTATCAGCATCCACAGGAGGCAGTGAAGATGGTGAAGGGCCTAGAGGGAAAGCTGTATGAGGGCCAGCAGAGGTCACTTGGTGTGTTCAGCCTGGAGAAGACTGAGGGGAGATCTCATCACTGTGTGTAACTTCCTCATGAGGGAAAGTGCTGGGTCAGGCACTGACCTCTTCCCTCTGGCAACCAGTGACAGGACCCGAGGGAATAGTCTGAGGTTGTGTCAGGGTAGGTATAGGTTGGATATTAGAAAAAAGGTTCTTCCCCCAGAGGGTGCTTGGGCACTGGAATGGGCTGCCCAGGGCAGTAGTCACAGCACCAAGCCTGGTGGAGTTCAAGAGGCATTTGGACAAAGCTCTCAGGCACACGGTGTGATTCTCGGGGCTGTCTGTGCCGGGCCAGGAGCTGGACCAGATGATCCCTGTGTGTCCCTTCCAGCT